TCTCTCTCTCTCTCTCTCTCTCTCTCTCTCTCTCTCTCTCTCTCTCTCTCTCTCTCTCTCTCGCGCGCGCGCGCGCGCGCACACACACACGCACACACGTACACACAGTTGGTTTTCGGAACTACATGATTCCAAATTTCGAATTTATGAAATGAATTAATTAGTTGAGTTTTACTAATTATAACTGTATGTGAATAATTCAAAAAAAAAAAAAAATCAAAATGAATGATCATACGGTCTCTCTGAGCATCCGTGGAACTACACAAAGAACCTTTTTGTTTTTAAATTAAAAAAAAGGGGTAACGTCGGCGCAGTCACGAAAACAGTTTGTAATTCCACTTCTGGCAATCCCGCGAATACAACACACCCCCACGCGACCCCACCGGACCCGAAACGTAGATCATATGCATTCAGTATTACCCCACCGGACCCGAAACGTAGGTCATATACATTCAGTATTTAATTTACCGGCCCTTTTGCCTCAAGTGAGGCAATTACAAACAAAACCCTGACTGCGCCGTAGTTTTCTCTGAAAAACATATAATAATTAATAATAATAATAAACGTCTATTAAAAGATTGATACAGACAAGAAGATTAATTGGCATCGCTCGTGCGCATCTTCCGATGAAACCCGGAAATCGAGGAACGGTCGAATTGAATTGAAAAAAAAATAAAAAAAGGAACGGTCAAATTGATACAGGGAAGAAACAAAAAAAGGACTACCATATGCACCTGGACTTGATTGATTCGCGCCACGTGGCCATCGCTGAATGGTCGTCGGGATCGGCGCGTGCGACGTCGCGGCAGACGCACTGGATAAAGCAGCGAGCGACGAGGACGTCGTCCGCTCCCCGCCGCGAAGGACAGAAGTTCGCGCGAAACTTAGTCTAGCCACGTCAGCATGGCCCAGCGCAGACGCCATTGCGCGCCGATGCAAGATGAGCACGGCTGACAAATGGAGGCGGGGGAGAAGCACGTGGTGTGCCCGGGTCGCGACAACCGGCGAGCGGAAAATCAATGCAGGCCAGTGAGGCCAGAAAAAATAAATGTAGGGTACCGTAGTAGCAGCTGCTTGATTTGATGAGAGGGAGGAGGGGGGAACGGAGCGAATAAGGGTTGTTTTACTAGACCCTATCGGGCCCCAATTCGCAGCCCAAAGCTTGGGGTATATTGGCTTGCCCTATCTGTGGGGGCTGCAAATTTTTGCAGCGGGAGAAGGCTCAAAATGGGGTATAACCAGGCTGGAAGTTGTGCCATGATTGGCCCTTCGCATATTCGCAGAGGACCCCACACACAGCTATTTGGTTGCCCTACCAGTACCTTTGGAAGCATAGGACCGACCTTGTGACTGGAGGCCCAAAAAGGGACCCGAAGTCTTGGAACAGCAGAATTTGTTAGGCCGCCCAATCTTGAAGATCTGACGGTGGCCACTAGGTTTGGTCACAGGTAGTTGTTGCAAAACGTTGAGTGCACACCTGCTTTGGCAATTTTTCGTAATCAGAATCATTGTTCGAAAATCTGAAAGAAAAAGAGAAACAGATTAAACCAGCGAAAGGCGAGTAGGCTTCAGTTTTATTCATCGTTTGTCTTCGTAATCAGAATCATTGTTCAAAAAATCTGGAAGAAAAAGAGAAACAGATCAAACCAGCGAAAGGCGAGTAGGCTTCAGTTTTATTCATTGTTTGTCTAACAGCAGGGGGTAGCGTGGTAGATCACCATAAAAAAGGGGGGAGAAGCGCATAGCTAATCGTAGCTGAGTAGTATTGGAAGAATGAAAATTGATTAGTGTTTGTCTTGCTGTTCTTTTGTGTTTCTACCCCTCTTCAAAGTCGGCAGTTTTGTCCTGGTGTTTCGGCTTTGACAATGTTCTGTCTTTTGGTTGTAACTTAGTTTGGCTGGCATAATACTCGCTCACACAACCATGCACGCACGTACACGCACACACTCCGATGAAACAGTTTGCCAAGCCATGCTTTCGTTGTGCACTTGTATATAGTGAACATGACAAGACAAGCACACACATACACTACTAGTCATGCTAGTCGGTATCCATGGCAGATAGGTGTCCAGAGTGGGTTATATGTCTGTGACAGACTACTTCCTCACATGTATTGTCGCGGTCTAGTATGATTGCAAGATTGGTGTGAATGAAGTCGGCCAGTTTTCTTAGGGGTATTGCCATGATAAGTCATTATCCATCAGTCGAATGCATCTTGGACGGAAAGTAGGGTTCAACCTTTTCATGAGTCAGTGAATCCTGGAAACACAACATGGCACAATCATTCTTTTTCAGTGTTGTGTATAGTGAAAATGACATACATGTATACATACACACGCACAGGGTGTGGCAAAACATGTGTTGCTGCAACAATGCTTCTACCATAACAACAATTTTGTTGCTATAAAAATCTTGCAACGAGAAAACTTATTGTGTAGCGAGTCAAAAACAAATAAGAACACCCACATGCAATGTTGGCGCGCACACACACACACACACACACACACACACACACACACACACACACACACACACACACACACACACACANTAAGAACACCCACATGCAATGTTGGCACACACACTGGGGGAGGGGTCGCCCCACCCCCACGACCACGGGCACACACACACACACACACACACACACACACACACATACTCACACGCGCGCGCGCGCGCACACACACACACACATACATACACACACGTACGCACCCACGTACACCCACACACACGTCCACCACTTTTGCTCTGGAAAACTTATGTTGCGACATAACTCTTTTTGCGGAACAACCGCGAACATCGTGCAGGTGTAGTACACAAACACACATATACACGTGCAATTATTTAATACAGTTTCTGCTATGACATAACATGCCATGCAAAGGAACTCATGATGCAGACGGACTGCTTGTATAATGAAAGATCTATATTGGTAGAACTTGTCATGCAAGTACAAAAGTTATTTTTGTGTGTGAGTAAAGTCGACAAGTTTTTTTAGGAGTATTGTCGACTTAAGTGATATGGTGGACCTCCTATCGAGTCGGTGAAAGTCTTACGAAACAGTGTGGTACAGTTCTACGTTTTTGCCATAATTTTTTATATAGAAGATGAAACACACCTGCATTTGTTGCACCATAATTTCTTTTGCGGGAAACCCCCTACTATGAAATCATTTTCATACTTACATCATCCCTAAAGTTGTTAACGTTTGTCTACTATCATATGCACATGCAAATCCATATATAAGCATACACGTATTTAAGTTTATGGATAATAAATTCATTATTTATAATTTTAGCCATACATTTGTTCACAACTGCAATCTATTAATACCAAAACATAAGAATCACGCCTCACATTTGTGTAATACTCTTGTATGCACCTAGAGCAATATAGACCATTCTTTTAAATGAATATTGTTGCTCATTAGACATATGTGTTTGTTTTAAAGATTAATGACTAAAAAATTTGTTGAGATATGTAAGTCTTTTCAAAACTTAGATGGTAGTTCGAATAAAGATAGAAAGGGGGGGCTCCCCACTATCATCTCTCCTTATGTTTGTTGTTCGTTATATGAACATGCCCTCATTAAAAAAAAAACGTGCTTTACTTGGGGGCATAAATCCAATAATGATATATGAAGGGCGTCACATACTGTCACGTCATTCATACTTTCCAACTATTAAAAAAAAAAGTTCAGCGCTATACAAGGTTTTGCATATAGGAAAAAAAAAAAAAACAACAATCGACAACTGGCTTACGAATACAACGAATTAGAGAGATCAATACAATGTTTTATGTCCTTCGAACTCAGAACGTGCATATCCTCGACGTGTTTCGAATGGTTGTTCTCGGTCATCCTCTAGAGGCTCACCACAAACCCAAGTACTACCAGACAATCCATCATTGAGCTTAGACGGTCTTATAACCTTGCCCTATCATATAACAAACGTGGAATGAAGCTCAATACTACTGATTGATTGCTTTCCTCTAATGTTGGACTCAGACTCCTACCACCTCGCGAAAGAAGTCAGTTACCTATGCATTCGTGCCTTATTGGATACTTGTGCTCAATCGAGGATCCGAGACATATTCCCAATCCTATATACAACCCGTTATTGTACGAGATCCCTCCACTCAAAATTATGTACAAAATGAGTCTAACACAGTTATGCAGTCAATAATTGTTGAAATATAAACCTCATTACGAATTCAAATGAGATAAATTATTTGTGAGTTATCTTGAGTCAGGTAGTTCAACAGTGATACATTAAGGTTGTCACCCTTCTTATTATTATTAAAAACGGGGAGGAAACTGCTCACACGAACGAGATTAACTCGGTTTTCCGTTAAGGAGTTGACATATCTTTAATATTGGTTACAATGAAGTGGTAGGGTGCGGGGACAGGGGTCTATACCCCCCCCCCACATCATATTTTGTAGAGAATGGAGACAGATGAGCATATAAAGCACAATGCATTCATACAAAGTCCATTAGCATATTCAAACTTTGGTACATACAGACTTTCAACCCCTCCACATACACTCTCACCTATAAAAATTGAACACATTCTACGATCATTTCCCATACATAATCAATCAATTGTTCATGTGTTTTGCAAACTTCAACATTAGTTGCAATGAACAAGGGGGATGCGGTGCAGGGTTTCTGCCGTCATCTTTTATGCAGAATGAAGACACAAGAGCATACAAAAGAAAAATTCTCAAAAAAAAATAAAGATGATTTTTTTTTTTTTTAATCATCATATTTAGAAATTGATTATTCCAAAGTTATTTCGATTATAAAATTTTTAGTTTTATTTGACAATTTTCAGTATAAAATTAAAATTTATCTTTCAATTAAATTTATTTGTTGAAAATCCAGGCTACTCGCCTGGCCGCCCAGGTCACCCAATTTTCCCGTGCAGCCCGACCGTGCAAGGACTATGGAAGGTCCCAGCAAAAAAAAAAAAAAAAAATCAAACCATCCGGAAAAAAACTATGTTACACAAAAAAATAAACTGAATAACGTTTGTCCCAAGGTCACATCGAAATTCTTTGCCAAATTTAAAATGAAAAATTTTAATTAAAATTAATTATTTTCTTTTTCTTTTGTTTTTTTGCCCGGTTGAGCAAGTGGACTCCGGCCACTCTAGTAGCCGAGTTGAAAATGGAATAAAATTCAGTCGAATTTATAAAAAGTCTTAGTTAAACTTTTATTTTACTAAAAACTATTTATTCAAATTAAGATTGGATTAACCTATATATGATAAAAACTCTTTATAATAAAATGATATTTCAATTTAAATATTGTATGAATTTATCCAGACTTTCATGCCATCTACGACGTGCAATTCAAACAATAAGGGATACCTCATTCTGAGAAGCAAAGTTTTCAAGTAAGACAGGAAATTTTAGAAATGGAATGACATTTTTCAAGATACGATGAAAATTTAAATTTAAAAATGTAATTTTATTATGGAATGCAGTGTAGTTAATGTTCGAGTCTATCCAAACTGTCGAACCCAAATTATCAAACGTTTGACCCCTCTTGGAGATACGTTCGACAGAACCCGAACGCCAAGGGAAAAAAAAATACTCAAATAAATCTGGAAAAAAAAACAATGTCATGCAAAAAAAAAAATTAATAACTTTTATTTTGGGTCACATCAAACTTTTTCATAAAATTTATGAAACAAAGTATTTTATTTTATTTTTACGTTTTTTGCTAAGCTGGTTTTTCAGGTGTCCGGGTCACTCCGATAAAAAATAAAAAAATAAAAAAATCCTAGGCTACCAGAGTCTTCATACTTGCGTATCTCTCACGATAATTCGCCTGGAGAGAAGTATGTTGGGTTTGAGTGACCGTGTTTCCTTACTTTGACATCAACTGTTTGGAGTGTACCACTTAAGACCGATACCGGTGGCGGCATGGCCAACGGGCGAAGACTGCTGTTCGAAGAACGAGAGCTTTTGTGAAGCTTGTCGTCTCGACACCCAAACTATGGTGGGGGATGAGCGGCGTAACGATTGATCTGCAGGAGACAGTCAACGAAGGGACGACCGCCACAGTGAAGACCAGAGGGAGGAGGAGCGTAGGGAT